GTTGGGTGTGTGTGTGTGGTTGTACTGGGGAGAGAGCAGGGTTCTGGTAGTCAGTAGACCTGAGTTCTAGTCCTGGCTTCATCACTCATTCCTGTGAGGCTTTGGGTAAGACACTGGCTGATCCTGAACCTCTGTTCTCTCCTTTCTAAAATGAGGGTAAGGCAGGTCCAAGATAGTGGCAGCAAAAGAAGACACTAAACTTGCCCCCTCCCACCAGCAATTATTCCTGAGAGACAACTGAGGGCTGAATGAACAGCTTCTGACCAACAAACAAGAGAAAGACTGAATAGAGAAGGCTGGGAAGCTGCAGGAAACTTCCAAGAGCTGCGGGACTATTCCGGCCCGAGGAGCCATTGAACGTCATTGTTTACAGCCCCCTCCGTTTCCATAGGGAGGCTGGGAGCTGAATTTGGGTGTTTTGACTTACCCGTAGGATCACCACAGATTGTTCTCAGCTACAAAGCCCGGAGCTTTTTGTCTCTGAACAAACGGAGCAAGCAGGAAGGCAAAGCAGTGCCCCAGGCGCTGTAACCACCTGCTCAGTTCCAGCCAGCTTCCCAAAACCACCCAGCACATAAAGCCTACGCAGAGGCTGCCTCTAGTTGGGACCCCTTTTGATACAACGAACAAGAGGATGTATAGAGAAGGCTGGGAACTGTGGGAGCTCTCCGGGAACTGATGGAATTTTCCGGAAACCGAGGGGCAAATTAGCACAATTGTTCATGTCCGCCTCCCTCTCCATAGTGTGTGGGGTGCTTTATGCAGGTGCTCTAGCCTACCTGCAAGGTCACTTTAGCTTGTTCGGGACACATTGCTGAGCCCATTTTGGCCCTAAGCAAGAAGAGTAAGCACAATTAATCAACAGGACATCACTACACACATCTGGCCTCCCCAGCTGGAACTGCTCCAACTTGGTAAGGCAATGCCTTGGATGCCTTTAAGCACCCATTTGGCTCCTAGAGCCAGCCAAAATCACCAGCACACACAGCCTACAGAGAGCCGTTTCTACATAAGGCCACATTTTCAAGGCCGACAGAGAGAGCTATTTTGTCCAATTCATATAAACAAACATAGTAAAACAAAATGAGAAGACAGAATAATATCTCACAAATAAAGGAACAAGAAAAATCCCCAGAAAATCCCTAAGGAAATGGAGATAAGTAATTTGCCTTCTAAAAAAACTGAGAGAAACTGTCATAGGATGCTAACCAAACTTGAGAGTGGAATACAGGAACTTAGGAAGAACTTGCACAAAGAGTTACAAAGTATAATGAAGAACTAAGAACTAAGCAGAACTGAAGAATACAATAACTAAAATGAAAAATGCATTAGAAGCAATCAACAGCAGATTAGCTAACACAGAAGAATGGAAAACAGACTAGTGGAAATCAACCAATCAGTACAGCAAAAAGAAAAAAGAATTTTAAAAAATGAGGACTACTTGAGGGACCTCTGGGATAACACAATGAGCTCAAAATTCACATTATAGGGATCCCAGAAGGAAAACAGAGAAACAAAAACTTTATTTAAAGTTTATGAAAACTTTCCTAGCCTGGAAAAGGAAACAGATATCCAGGTCCAGGAAGCAGGGTTTCAAAGAAGATGAACCCAAAGAGACCCACACCAAGACATATTGTAATTGAAATGACAAAAGTTAAAGATAAAGAGACAATCTTGAAGGAAGCAAGAGGAAAACATTGAATTACGTACAAAGGAAACACCATAACACCGTCAGCTGATTTCTTAGCAGCTACTTTACAGACCAGAAGGAAGTGGCAGGGCATCTTTAAAGTGATGAAAGAAAGGAACCTACAGCCTAGAATAATTTACCCAGCCAGGTTATTATTCAGAATGGAGGGAGAGATAAAGAGATTCTCGGAGAAGCAAAAACTAAAGGAGTTCATAACAGTTACAAGAAATGTTAAAGGTTTCCTTTAATCAACAAAGGAAAGGCCATAACTATAAATAAAAAATATAAGAAAGGTAAAACCTCACAGGTAAAGCCAAATATTTAATAAATACAGTGAATCAGACATTTAAAAATGAAGGTCAAAAAAAAAAGGTATCAAACAAATATTTAGGAGATATATAACACAAAAAGATCTATACAGAGGGAGGAGGAAAAATGTAGTCCTTATAGAATATATTTGAACTTACATGCCTATCACTTAAAATAGACAGCTATAGATAAAGGATAATATACATAAGCCTCATGGTAACCATCAACCAAAAACCTAAAAAAGATATACAAAGAACAAAGAAAGGAATCCAAACAAAACACTAAAAAAACCCAACAAACTACCAAAAAAACAGCAAACCGCAAGAGATCAAGAGAAGAAGGAACAGAACTACAAAAACAACCAACAATTAACAAAATGGCAATAATGACATAGTTATCAATGATCACTTTAAGTGTAAATGGATTAAATGTTGACACATGCAGCCTGAAAGTGAAGGAATGGGAAAAGATATCTCATGCAAATAGAAACAAAAAGAAAGCTGGGGTAGCAATACTGTTACATTTCTAAACACCAATAGCAAACCATCAGAAGGAGAAAGTAAGAATAAAATGCCATTTACAATTGCATCAAAAAACATAAACTACCTAGGAATAAACTTAACCAAAGAGATGAGAAAGACCTATACTCTGAAAACTGTAAGATACTGAAGAAAGAAATTGAAAAGGATACAAATAAATGGAAGGATATACTATGCTCATGGATTGAAAGGATTAATATTGTTAAAATGCCCTTACTAAAGCAATATACAGATTCAATGCAATCCTTATTAAAATACCAATGGCATTCTTCTCAGAATTAGAACATCTAATCCTCAAATTTATGTGAAGCCACAGAAGACCCCGAATAGCCAAAGAAAGAATAAAGTGGGGGGTATATTCCCTGATATCAAACTATACTATAAAGTTAAAATAATTAAAACAGTATGCTACTCACATAAAAACAGATATATAGCTCCATGGGATAGAATAGAGAGCCCAGAAAGAAATCCTTGCTTATATGGTCAGTTAATCTATGACAAAAGAGGGAAGGATATACAATGGGATAGACAGTCTCCTAAATAAGTGGAAAACTGAACAGATACAAGCAAAAAAGTTAAATTGGACCACTTTCTTACACCAAATAAAAAAATAAATTCAAAACGAATTAAAGACTTAAATGTAAGACCTGAAACCATAAGACTCCTACAAGAAAACATAGGCAGGCAGTAAAGCCTTTGACATTGCTCTTAGCCATATGTTTTTGGATATGTCTTCTTGGGCAAGGGAAACAGAAAAACACACAAATGGGACTACATCAAACTAGAATGTTTCTGCACAGCAAAGGAAGCCATCAACAAAATAAAAAGACAACCTACTGAATAGGAGAAGATATTTGTGAATGATATATCTGATAAGGGGTTAATATCCAAAATATATAAGAAACTCATACAATTTAACCTCCCCCAAACCCCCACACAATCCAATTGAAAAATGGGCAGAGGACCTCAATAGACATTTTTCCAAAGAGGACATACAGAGATGGCCAACAGATATATAAAAAGATGCTCAAAATCACTAATCATCAGGAAAATGCAGATTCAAACCACCATAAGATACCACCTCACACCTGTCAGAATGGCTATCATCAATAAATAAATCAACAAATAAGTATTGTTGAGGATGTGGAGAAAAGGGATTGTACACTGTTGGTGGAATTGTAAATTAGTCCAGCCGCTATGGAAAACAGTATGAATATTCCTCAAAAATTAAAAACAGAGCTGCTTTATGATCTGGCAATTCCGTTTCTGGGTTTTTACCCAAAGAAAACAAAAATATTAATTCGAAAAGATATACACACCCCTATGTTCATTGCAGTTTTACTAGTAATAGTAATACTATTTTTATTTACTAGTAATAGCCAAGATAGGGAAGCAACCTAAGTGTCCATCAGTAGATGAATGACTAAAGAAGATGTGGTCCATGTATGCAATGGATTATTTTGGTTATTCAGCAATGAAAAAGAATGGTATTTTGCCATCTCTGACAACACCGATGGACCTAGAGGAATTATGCTAAGTGAAACAAGTCAGACAGAGAGAGAGAAATACCATGTGATTTCACTTACATGTGGAATCTAAAAAAACTAAAAACAAATGAATAAATAAATCAAAACAGAAACAGACCCACAGATACAGAGAACAAACTGATGGCTTCCCCGGGGGGGTGGAATAAAAATTAACTTTTAAAAATAAAATAAAATGGGCTTAATTCCTACTCTGTTCACCTTAAGTGTAATCACGGGCATTAAAACGTCTTTGAAGTTGCCAGGAATTGTACATGTGGGCAGGATAAATTGTGGATGTTGTCTTGAACTGTAACCATTAGGCCCTCTTAGACGGTGGTGCCAGGGTTGGCAATCTGACTGCCAAGTCTTGGAAGTTCTCTGAAGCGAGAGCGTTTGGACTTAGAACGTTGGTCACAGTAGAACGGGGAGGAGCCCTAGCCTGGAGCAAGAGACCTGGCACCCACTTCCAATCTGCCACTAACCTCCATGGATTCAGACAAATTATGCCTCCTCCCTACACTCTGCTTCCTCGTTGTAAAGTGTGGCTGACACTTGTGAGGATCCCTGGAGTATTTGCTGGGAAAGTGCTTTGAGGCTCTGTTCACCCCCTCTGCTGGCTAACTAGAGTCAGTCTCCCTCCTTAGGCTCAATGCCAAAGAGCTATGGGAGGGGGCTCCCCATAAAAGCAGGAGGTGCCATAGTTGGGGGCAGGGGACAGAAGCAGCACAGAGCAGGGGAGAGGCCACAGTGGCAGATAAGGGCCTGGGCAGGGAGGCTGCGGGAACTAGCCCTGGCTCCCATACCAACTCACCTTGAGGACAGGTCTCTGCCCCTTCTGCATCTCAGTTTCCAGGCCTGTAAAATGGGGATAACCAGGCCTGCCTTGCAGTCACTGTGAGAACATGAACAGACTAGATATGAACACAGCAGGCAGGATTGAGGGGTAATGCAATTTATTTATTAATATATAACAACAAAAATGATAAAGCTCATATCTGCAGCAGTTTAGATCTTTGTTATAAGGTCTTGGTCCCTTTGTCTGGACTGGCCATGACCTTCAGCTCTGGCGTCTGGGCTAGGAAGACGTTCCAGTGACCTGCATGGGGGAAAGCAGAAGAGTTGTGCGTGTAGGTGTGTGTGTGCAGCCGTGTGTTTGCACAAGAGGCAGAGTGGCTGGTGTAGGAAAAAGGGTGAGGAGGACTGCGTGGACCTGGGTTTGGAGCCCACAGGGAGGAAGGAGGCGGGAGTCCCCCTCTCATACTTTTATCCAGATCAATTCTGGCACATGACCCCCGCCTTCATCCAATCAACAAGTGGGGGCTGGGCTGGTATCCTGACACCTGTCGGTGACACGCCCATCTGTGACTTTACCCTCCCCTACCTGAAGCCCACCTGGGTCCAATCTTCCTCAGTCTAGTGTAAAGCAAATTAAGGGCATCAGAAGGAAGTCGCTAAGAGAGTTCCACGGGGAAATGTTCCAGTAGAGAGGAAAGAGGCAGCACAAGGGTTTGGCGCTCAGACCTCCCTCCTCTACAGCCCTGTGACCCCCATCCCAAGACCAAATCCAGCAAGGCTCTGCTTCAGCCTCCCGCTCCTAAGCACCCGAGTTGAGAAATCTCTGGCGCAGACACCCACTGGATTCCTGTGCCGGGAACTGACGTCTGTGGCTCATAACCCCCTTCCAGCAGCCTGAAACTCCCCTAGAGGCCTTGGCCTCCAGCCAGACTCTCTTCCCAGGCCCAGTCTCAGCCCCAGGTCCCACCTTCGTGGGTGCCGGTGAGCAGCCGGAAGTTCTGTGCCTCTCTCTGGAAGTCTTGCTTCCTGACTCTCTTGATCTGAATCAAGTGGAAGATTCCTGAGGGCAGAGACAAGGGCATGAGCAGGAAAGGCAGGGCCGTGGGTCAGGGGAATGGGCTGACGGACTTGGAATGTACCCTGTCACCTCCCTCTCCTCCCCTATTCTGATCAGACACCGCATCCTGTGGACTAAATTTCCTAAATATCTGGGATCTGTTCTTCTGTCCCCACTGTCACTCTCCCCACTCAGGCCCCTTCATGTCTTGTTTGAGTCACTGCACTAGATTTCTGACCACTTTTACTCTCCCTCTAACCCATGATCCTAACTGCGGTCATTTGAAAATATACTGTTTCCCTGTCATTCCCCTTCCCTGACCTCCGGTCACCTCTCTGCTGGCCCTGCTCCTGTCACCATCACTGTCCTGCTCTCAAACCACTCACCTGTCCACAATGTAGAAGGGCAGGTTGAAGGAGGGAGGGAAGAAGGGAGGATGGAGGGAAGGAAGGAAAGCTGCCAGGCATGTATGGGCTGGTCCAGCTTTTTTCTGGGCACAGAATGTATGATAAAAATTGATAGGTGTGCTTATTCAGGCATCAAAACACCAACAAGAGTCAGAATTGTAGGCCTCCTTTCAGCACAGTTCACCAGGCCCCCCGAGGGCCCTTGCCTGTGCCCCACCCCTAACCAACTGCCTGAAGACCCCCGAGGGGCCAAGCCTTTCCGTGCGCCACCCCACCTGCTAGAACTCCTCCTCCTGCCGCCAGGTGAACTACTCATCCTCCAGGCCTTGGCGGGGAAGTCTTCCTCCCGCACCCCCATCCCCGCCTCCAGGTAGTTATAACTTCCTTCCTTTTTGGATCCCAAGGAGGAAATGATAACTGCCCACAGCTCTTGGCTTCTGTTGGTGATTGTATCTATTTCTAATGTGCTATTATTGTGTCTATTCTTGCCTCCCCTACCAGACTGGGAACTCTTAGAGGGCTTTCCTCTCTGGGTCTCCTGAGTCTGGCCCACATTAGGCATAAAGAATGGATGGATGGATGGATGGATGGATGGATGGATGGATGGATGGATGGATGGATGAGCAAATACATGTGTACCCAGTCTAGGCCAGGCCCCGAAGGAGGATGAAGTATTATTCTGGACCTTCTCATGTTTGCATTCCATGGGGAGCTGGCCACTGGCTCCTCACATGGTGCTGAAGCTCTGCGCACATGGGCTGTGAGGTTGCACCAGCTGTTACCACCAGGGTCTGTGGCCAGAAAGAACAGATGCGACAGCAAGGCCCCTGCTAGGCCAGCACCGCCCTCAAGGAAACCAAGAACTGGCCTTGTTTGTGGGAATCTGAGTGGGATCCCACCAAGGGCAATGGACAGCACAGACTCTGAGATTAAGGTCCAGGAGGCCAGAATTGTCCTTGGGAACCCCAGCCCAGATGTCAAGGACCAGGATGTGAGAGAGACTCACTCCTGAGCCCCAGGCTACATCACGAGCATGAGATAGGGATGGGTGCTTCTGCTCAGGGCCTGCCACTGCAGCCCCCCAAAACCCAAATTAGAGAGGAGGTAACAGGGAGGTAGGCAAGTCGCCACACTGTAGCTTGTAAAGCATGATCGAAAGGACGGGCTTTCAAGCCTGGAATCAAGAGCTACACTGAGGATCAGGGTTATATCTCTTGCTCTGTGAAGGGCATGCCAGGTTTGAGGCCCCTCAGGGCAGAGGTGGCACTGGTAGGTGAGTCCCAGCAAATAGGATAGGCTCTGTTCAGTGTGAAGACAAAACTTTCCCTAGGCAGAGCCATCCACAGTGTTGGAAGTCAATCATCTGTCTGGAGGTGGGTGGGCGCATGTGCACTAGAGACCATCCGTGAGGCCACACGGGGACATCCTTCCTAGGTGGGGGTAGGAATTGAGACCCAGAAGGCCCCTTCTACTCTGGAACTCCAGAATCTAAAAGGCCCTTAACCCTAAGCCAGCTCTGTTCAGCTTCTGGAGTCTGGGGCTCTCCCCACGTGGTGTAGCCTCACTCTGCCCAGGTTTCAACATTCACCTGCTCACTTTGTCTCCAAGGCCTGCAGTTTCCACTCTATGTGAGAGAACAGTGTGTTTCCCACTGACACTCACACCTTGGGAGTGTTTGGCTTCCATGGCCAGGGACGGGGAGACAATGGGAGGTGGATGGGGCATTTAGGCCACCCAGGGGTTCAGGAGATGGGGAGGGGGAAGCTTGTTAATGACAGGATGGTGGGACCTGGCATTGTGAAGTTGAAAAGCCCCTCACCCCACCCACCTTGTATGATGGGCCTGGTGGTAATGAGGCTGGCCTTGAACTATGAAGTCCCCCTCTGCACAATTCTGGACACACCTTGACCTTCCTCCTAAAGCTTTTAGGCTTCTCCCTAAAAGCATAAGTTCACCTCTATGGAGGCAGCACTGGGGACAGTCAGAACTGGGTTTGAGTATTTACTGCTTAAACTATGTGACTTTGAGCAAGCTGTTTTACCTCTCAGGCTCAGTTTTCTTATCTGCAAAATGGGGCATTAATACATACCCCTCAGGTTTCTTATGTGGATTAAATGAAGCATATTATACATAGAGCCTGCCACACACCAATCACAGAGCACAGGGCATATAAGCATGGCCTCTAGAGACAGAGTTTGAGGCATCACTGCCACCTTGCCTTCAGTGCTTCCCTTCCCTTCCCTTTTCCTTCCTTCCTTCCTTCCTTCCTTCCTTCCTTCCTTCCTTCCTTCCTTCCTTCCTTCCTTCCTTCTTCTTTCTTTCCTTCTTTAAATATATTTTTATTGATTTCAGAGAGAGGAAAGGAGAGGGAGAGAGAGAGATAGAAACACCAATGATGAGAGAGTCGTCAGTGATCAGATGGAGCCTGCAACCCGGGCATGTGCCCTAACTGGGAATCGAACTGAGATCTCCTGGATCCTAGGTTGATGCTCAACCACTGAGCCACGCCCAGCCAGGCCCCTCTTGCCTTTCTAAATCCTATCCAGCCCCAGGCCCATCTCCCATGAAGCCTTCCTTGACCAGCTCAGGTCCCAGTGAGCTCTTATTGCACCCAAGTCACCAAAGGACTACTCTCTGTGGTCCCAGCACTTGGTGGGGGTGAAGGGAGCCCCAGAGTAAACATGCAGCCAGCACCTGTATGGGGACCAATGGAATCTCAAGGTACAAAAGAATTATAAGGGTTACTCCCCAGCTGCTGACAGAATCCCCACCCAGCCCTTGCCTGCACACTCCCGTGAACGGAGCCTGCTCCCTCCCTTCATTTCAGGAAGGCCCCAAGTATGAGAAAGTGCTTCCTCTTGGTGGCTGAAAGTTGTTTTGCTGCAATCCTAACTGAGTCGATGAGGTAGGATGAGCAGGTTAGTGACATTGGTAAAACCTACTAAAGGTCAGGGGCTGTACCTATGTTATTTCATTTAATCCTCCCAAACCCCTCCTCCCCAATTAACAGAAGAGAAAACTGAGGCCCAGAGAGGTCAAGTGATTGCCCAAGGCCACACAGCTAAGAAATGGTAGGGCCGGGATTTACACCCAGGTCTGATTCTAAAGCCCCTGCTTGTTGACCCTTGTGGTCAGTCAGAACACAGCTGCTCCCTCTGCCTGGGGCAGTCCTTCAGAGCCATGAAGCCAGTGGTCCTGTCCCCCTGAGTCTTCTCTTCTCCAGGCTGAACAGCTCCGCTTTCTTCGTCCATTCCTCCTACGACAGGGGGCAGAGTAGAGCAGGGAAAGAGCCGCATCTGACGTCACAAGACATGGGCTCTAGCTCCTCCACTTACTGGCTGTGTGGCCTTGAGCCAGGTACTTCACCTCTCTGAGCCTCAGTTTCCTCATCTGTAAAATGGGGATAATAATACCTAACTCTCAGGATTGCTGAGCATCAAATGAGATAATGAATTTCGTGAAAGCACTTTGTAAACTCTAAAGTGCTTCACACATTGGTTATTATCATGTCATTACTGCTATTATCCCTTTACCATCCCCTTCTTGTTGTCCCCTCTTTAACTGCCCCCCCCCCC